TCCCACTCCAGGACATGGTGGGGCAGCTGTTATCTCCCCGTGTCCCAGAAGAGAAAACGAACATGCACAGGTGCTGAGCTCCTGATGAAGGGGAGCTGAGAAGGGAGGCTGGAGGGTCTGCCGCTGGCGTGGCTCTGCTGTGCTGTCCTGCTGGGTGGGGACAGGAAAGGAAGGGCCAGGGGATAGCCTGAGGGTCTGGAATACTGAATCCCATGCTCAGGTTCTGTGATGCTTGCTGCTCTTCAGGGGTGCACCTGCTAATTTAGTCAGACTTTCAGGCTAGGATTTGTTTGGGGTTAGGGTTTGAAAATTTCATCTCCCCTCTCCCAAGAAACCCCGTGTTTGTCCAGTGTGCCATCCAGCTTGTGGGGGAAGAGGCTGTTGAATCCAAGTTCATCAGCTGGTTCACGAAGTCTGACAAGCTCAAGTGCATGCATTGCAGGAGGCTGGTGGCTTTGGCTTCAGCAGACGGTACTTAGGTGAGAGACAAGGAAGATTCCTTCCTGGGTGAGGACCCAGATTTTGTCCCTACATGGATCCTGGGCAATGTGAGGGGAGCACCTGCAGGCACTGCCAGCCAGGTCCTTCTTCCTGAGGCCGGAGGGACATCTGGCACAGCAGATCCATCTGCCAGCTGCTAAGCTGAAGGCTTGGTCCCAGCTGTCCAGCTCGCGTAGTGTGCGCAGCAACGTGCCTCAGACCCCCTGGCAGAAGACTCGCTCAGGATGCGGGCGCTGTGGATAGGAAGGGCAGGAGGCCAAGGGTGGGAGGCTGTGTCGTGGGCACCAGGTGTGGGAGACCTGCCCCTGCAGACTACAGGCGCTGGGTCACCTGGGCTGTGCTCTTGGTGGGGCAGGAAGGGGTGTCAGTACCCTCCCCAGGCAGGTGGCCAGTCCCCTGTGTTTACAACTCCAGGAAGTGACTGCCAGGTCCTTTCTGAAGCAGGCTGGATTGTTGTTGGATGGGAGGGGTTTTCCTTGTGTCAAACTGAACCCCGCCTCCCCCAAGCCTCTCCTCCTGCCCCCTGGGTCCCCTGTTGGAAGCCTGAGTAGCTGACTTGCTGCTGGAACCCGGTGAGTCAGGAGGCAGCCCCAGCCCCGTGCTGCCCACCTGACCCTGGGCTTGAGCAGGAGACAGGAGCGTGTGGGGCACGGCAGAGGTGACGTGGAGCTGGTCGTGAAGGGCATGTGCGGTACATGCCCAGCGGGAGGGACCATAGGGCATAACATGAAGGCTCCTCTCCAACTCTGCCCCCCCCCTCCTTCTGGGTAAAGTCCATCTCCCAGCCATCTTCTCTGCAGGTGCCCTGGTCCTTTCTTCTGAGACCCGGTCACCATTTGTGATTATAGGTGTATCACTGTTGAATTGTGAAATCCCGCCTTTGGGAACAATGTCTGTTCCAGGGCCTGTTCCAGATTGGGAGCGGAAACAACAGCATTTCCCTCTCACAGTTCTGGAGGCTGGAATTCCAAGACCGAGACACCAGCAGATGTGGTGTCTGGTGAGGACCTGCTTCCTGGTTCATAGATGGCCGTCTGCTAGCTGGGTCCTCACATGGCAGAACGGTCTGGGGAGCCCTGGGGGTCCCCTTTATAAGGGTACTAATCCCATTCACGAGGCTCTACCCTCATGCCCTCATCACATCCCCAAAGCCCACCTCCTAACACAATCACACTGAGGGTTAGGATTTCAGTGGGTGAATTTGGGGGAGGAGGAAGCACACTGCCCATAGGGGTGAGAAGGTGGGACTCCTGGTCATGGTGCAAACTGAGGGAGCTGATTCAGCCACCAAGTGGGTGGCCCTGGGTGGGGAGAGGAGGAAGGGGACCCACTGTGGCAGTGCAGACAGAAGCCTCTCTGCTACGTGTCCCCTGCCCGGCATGGCGACACCCTCAGGCGGTAGCTGGCTGCCGCTGGGTGTTGATTACAGTTTGAAATGCCGTACTTCGATCCCACGCTGCTGCACTCCGCAGAAATTCCGTTTTGCTCTAATGAGGTTTCAGTTAGAATGCTGGAAAGAAGAAAGCCTTTTAATTAGATTGGTAGTAATCAAACTCCCAAACCACAGAAGCCTTTCTCGGAGAAGACGAAGACACCAATGCGATTAGAAGGAGGAAAGCCCCCTCCATGGAACACTGGCTAATTTTAAGTCCGTTAAAAACAACAACTCTTTAGTAAATCAAAGCAACAGATATATGTCCTAAAAGAGTTTCTCGGTGCTTTCTAGTAACATTGGAGATTTCAGTGGAACTAGAGGACTTGTGCGATTCAAATGTATGGCTCTATCGGGGGCTATTTGCTCAGTAAAAAAGGATGGATATGTGTTAGCTTCACAACTTTTTCCACCCAAAACCCTGGCATGTCTTATTTTGCAAAGTGGGGTGTATTTTTCCTGTAGCTAAATTAGCAGCTTCTTCTAGACACAGCCCCAGGCCTGGGACCCCCGGCGCTTTTCCCCTGTCCCTCCCCAGGCCTATCCTTTCTGTAGGATTCACAGCCCCCCAGCACCCCCAATCTCACCTCTCAAAGGTGCCCAGGGTGTGAGTGGCTGGGGCAGGGGCACTGATGCATCCAAGTCTCTGCCAACCCCTTACACATTCAACACATTTTTGTTTTAATGAGAAGCTGCATCCATTTCTCATTTGCATCCCAGGCCTCTGACCACGCCCCAGCAGCTGCCGTCTTTCTGCCTGGGGCAGTTCCTATTGGAGGAGCTCCTGATCTCAGCCCCTCCCTCCGCTTGTCTGCATGAGGTCATTAATAAATCCTCTCTCCTGGAGAGGGTGGAAATTGCTAATTTGCAGAGTCCTTCAGGTGGAAATCAAGCACTAAATACTGTCGCACAAAATTCGCTGGTTTTCGCCCGGCTGTGCTGGGCGTAGCCAGCCACGATGAAAGGCTGGCAGCATCCCAGTTGGAAAGGCCCATGTTGACTCGACTCTTCTTGAGGTGCCCAGTGCCAGGGCAAAGCCACAGTTGGTAGGCTTTCCCAAGCTCTGGTGGGGACAGACTTGGGGTCCGGCTCGATCCCACACTTTGGTAGTGGGGACAGGGGCTCTGGAGTGAGAAAGTCAGAATCATTCCTTCATAAAGTCGCCTCACCTTTCTGCCCCGTAGCTTGCTCACCGGGACAGGATTTGCCTGCAGATGTGTGTCAAGGGCCTTGCATGTGGCCTGGTAGATAGAGGATAAGGGGAAAGGCGGGCGGACCCACGGGCACCAGAGGAATGAGTACCACACAGCACTTGATAACGGCACGTGGTGCGGCAGCTGTCACAGGTCAGCTCCCTTTCCTGGGGGAGCGAAGGACAAAATATTTATATTTGTATAAAACTATAAATTCTGGTAATAAACTTGACTTAAAAATTGGACTTTGCAGCCAATTTTATTTTTTAAGTATATAATTTTTTTTTTAAAGATTTTTATTGGGGAATTGGGGGAAGGGGAACAGACAAGTTGATGTTGTTTTTTTTGTTGTTGTTGTTCAGTCTAGTTGTGGATGTTGCATCACTGGCCCAAGCTGGCACCATCATTGTGCTCCTCCCGGGCGAGACAGATCAGTTGCCGGCCTCTGGACAGCCGCTCACAGCGGCTGCTGGCGGCTCACGCTGGCTGCTGGCTACACACGGTAGCCCATGGCAACCCACTGCCACAGGGGCTGCAGCCTATGCCGTCGCCGGCGACTCATGGCAGC